GCCTAGGTTTTAACTTTCATATAAAAAAAAAAGGAATCTAGAATAGCAATCCTTTCCTTTGAGCAGGAAAGCTCAGGGAGGTGTTGAACAGCATCAGAGTCATGGAAACAAAGCGGACTGCCGTTTGCTCCCTCTTCAAAGTTGCTTTCCAGATCTCAGGCACTTTTCAAGTGTGCAGGAGGAGGCGAAGGTTTTCCTGTCGGTCACCGGCCAAGAGAATCAGTTGCCACGGACGCTATAGATAGATGAGGTGGCACAAAGTAAGGGCTTGAGAAATGCGTTGAAAGACCAAATTCACAAACCTCTGAAAATTTCTAGAATGATAATGAAGCTTGAATCCCAAAAGAAGACATTTCCAGCAAAGAAAGCAAACCTTGTTTTATGCGGGGAATCACAGCATAGAATCTGTTATGCAAAGATATACTGGGCACCATGCCCAGTAGAGCTATAAAATGAGCTTAGGAAACATTTCTGTCAGGTGATGGGTGGTAGACAGGTGAAGAGAGGTCTCTGGTCACTGAAGAAAATAGGGTGCCATCTAGTGGAATCATTTCATTAGTGGAATCAAAGCGTATGTAATGCCTTAAACACTATTTTAGAAGCTTTAAGTTCTTAAGAAAACTTGTAACATTGTTTTCCTTTCTCACAGTTATCTTAAATTCTTTGTCTTCAAACTTCTTAAACTTTTTATTTTGAACTAATCTTACATTTGTAGAAGAGTTGCAAAAATAGTACAGAAAGGTCTCATTTACCCATCACCCAGCTCCCTCAATCTTCCATGAACAGTTAACCAAGACCAGGAAGTGAACACTGGTGCAAAACTCCTCGTTAAACTCCAGACTTTGATTCACATTTCACCAGTTTTTTCCATTTATGTCCTTCTTCTGTTCCAGGATCCCATCCCGCAGTGCTTTTAGTCATCATATCTCTTTTATAGTCTCCAATCTGAGACGGTTCCTTAGTTCAAAGAGTATTTATTAAAAACATGTCTCTAGAGATCATGGCTGTTGTAAAACACATCTGATTATACAGGAGATAGACAATTAAAAGGTAGTTATAAAATATGAATTGTCATCTACAAATATTTATCCTGCTTAGACAATTTCATCCCCCCGATCCTTTAAAATAGCTTTTTGTATTTGCAAAGTGCTTTATAAGTTCTACTTGTTCTGAAAAGTAGAGGCAGGAACTAATCTTTGACAGTTTTCTCATTTTACTTAGAAAGGAAATTAAGCCATAGGGAAGTTTTATATTTTGCCTTAATTGGAACAGCAGTCTCATATACACTGGCAGGTAGGAAAAAAAAAGAGGACAAATTACACAGCAGTTGCAAAGTAAATCTCATTTTCCCAACAATTTTATTATGACAGTAACTGAAATTTTGAAATGAAAGACAAATCTTCTGAAATTAGACTGTCTAATAAATCGGGTTTTATTCTTTAAAAGTGATATCTTAAATACTTTCAAATGCTCTCAAAATATTTGTCACATTTAAACAACATATGTATTTACCTCTCTTTTTAAAGTAATAGTTTAACCATCTATTTCATGAGCTCCAAACTAATGTTTTGCTGCTTTGCATATTGAAACAAATACTTCTATTACAAGTTATTTTGAAAAATACAAGTAATTTTTGACCCTAAAACAGCATCAGGGCTTTTTTTTTTGCCCCCAATTAGTATAATGGTTTGAAGAGTCATGATTAAATTTAGAAGACACTGTGTATAAAAATGAAGATAACACATTGAGAAGATGCAGCCTGAAGCTTATTTTATTGGTTTATGGGCTTCATTACCCAGAGTATTGCCTTTTGCACTGCGATCAGAGTGAACTCTGGTGTGGCGGAAAGTAGTGAAAAGGCCTGGAACATCCACGGAGGATATAATGTTTTCGTCTAGTGCAGTTTCATACTGGCCTTTCCCAGATCAGCTCCCACTGGGTGATGCTCTATGAAATGAAACTGCCTCCCAAAGAGGACTGATGTGGCGAGAGCCTCCTTCAGACAACAGAGTCACCTTACTCGGAAAACGCATCATCCGGTTGACGTTGCGTGAGGGAAGGATGGATGCGCTCTGGCGCCAAGATGCCAAAAGGTCTTTTGAGCTGTGGTCCGCCCATAAAGTAGCCAAACTGCAGATGCTGGTGGGGCTTTGGGAAGCCAGAATGTCTGCTTTCCCAGAACGCTTCTCTTGACTGAATGATACAGATGTGTTGCTTTTCTATGAATTGTGTAACTGGGCCTTCTACATTGTGTTTTTCTTAGTACATATTAATTTCTGTCTTTCCCTATGTGCATAGGTAAAGTTACTTGAGAGTGGAAACAAACACAACACAGAATTGCTTGCCTTTCAGGCAGCCTAGGGAAGTAGGTAAATCAATCTTTCAGGTTTCTCACCTACAATTAGGAACCCTCCTCCTTTCTCTCATTTCCTAGACCCCAGGCCACCCAGCTGGGCCACTGGGGATGGGGGAAGAGGGGGAGGAGAGACACTTTTAATTTCCTCTCACTTGGTGTCCTGTTTGCTGACAGAAATATATTAGCATGTTGTATTTATTAATTTATTGGTGACTGTCAGCCGTATTATTCTTTTCAGGTAAAATACCTGAAACTTAACCAAAGCCTCGGGGGCGTAATCACCAGAGACCAAGGACTTACCACGTTAGGCTTGGGAACATTCTCGAAAGTGAGCATCTTGCCACTGCTCAGTTGCTACCCAACACTGGGGCTCTCCCTGCCAGTATCTCAATCACACGAGAAGCATGCAAAGTAAATCTTAGAAAAACTACTAATTATATAAATATGGTCTCCTGGAACTCAGGAAGCAAGCATTCTTCTTGCCTATGAATGAAAGGAGGCTTTCCAAATGAAGCCATTTACATGGCATACTAGATCATCTTATGTCTTGTGAATGAAACTTAAGAGCTATGTGATCACATTCTGAAAAATACGAGAGAAATAAAGGATTTACCTATGTAACTATAGACTTCTGGAAAAGTTTATATGTTCATTCGAGACTGGACCCTTAAGACATGATCTTCACATTAAGAAATACTTTTTATGTTGCTGTTTTGCAAGGTTGATATTATTTTTCATGAACCTCCATATTTTATTTTGACAGCTTGAGGTTACCATCAGGCACTTTTGATAGCATTTTGGCTTCCTTTGTGTATTTCTCCTCTTAGAGAAAGTGGAAAAAAATCATATTGGTTCTTCAGTTCTCTTCTACTTAAACATTTCTTGGTGCTTTTTAGGAGAACCTTTTCAAAATGGTAGAAGTAAGACATTTTATGCGTGGTGGTAAGCTCCCCAAAAAACAAGCTGGGCTAAGAAAAGAGGGCTTCACGCTCCCCTTAGAAATATGGAGAGTTGAAGTTTCACTTTGCAGACACTGTCTTTTAATACAAAGCCACTTCTGCCTAATGGATTTTCTTTTACCGACTCTCAACGAAGGTGCTTCTTAACATTTGGCTACAGTAATAATTCTCCACTTTTAAAAAAATTGGACTTGTATGATTACAAACCGAGAACACTTCAAGTGGTTATAGAACAGGGCTGTTGTAATGAAGGAAACTGTTAAAGTCTTCCCTAACTTGGTCACTGTTAGATGCTTTTGAATCCTTATGTTCTGTCAACGAGTGATCTCTCTGCTTATGGAGTTTGTACAGTTCTTAGTCCTTAAAAAAAAGTCGAATATTCTATAGTTACATTGGGTTCTTAGAGCATGTAGTATTATCAAATTGAAGGCCTATGAAAGAGTCTATGCAGTGTTGAATGAATATTAAGGTTTTCTCTGTATTGAAATTTATGAAAAATCCATTTTTCTTCATGTACTCTAACCATCCCATGCTTTTAAAATAGTCTGGTTTTGGGCACACTGTGTTTTTATGACTTGTCCTCCATTATCAAGAATGTTACAAAATGAGGCCTTTGCTGGTAATGTTAACTTGATTCTAGTTTGTATGTATCACAAAAATATACGTGATTCTTCCATCATCAGTACTAAATGAGAGCACTCTTTGAGTCTTGGATTTTTTTGGGGGGGCAGTGTGGCATTCAGCATCCTCCCCTCCTAGCTCTGGGCTAATAAGCAAGGGTGTTCAGATTAGTGTGCAGCACTGGGTGCCCAGTAAGCTATTGACTCGATGCTGTGCTCATCTTTTGTGATTATAATAACCACAGACTTAGCAAGAGAGTCCCCAGCCTGTAAGTAGATTTATTCTATCTCAAGACAGGCCTTGGCTAATATGAGGGGTTTGTGGCATTTGGGAGATGAGGTTATGGGAATTTTTTTTAATTAAAAAAAAAATCTTGAGGGGGAGGTAGTTAGGTTTATTTATTTATTTATTTTTAGAGGAAGTACCGGGGATTGAACCTGGGACCTTATGTATGCTGAGCATGCGCTCTACCACTTGAGCTATGCCCTCCCCTTGGAAATTTGATTAAAAGAAAAAGGAGGCGTTGTGGTCTATCCTGTTTTGGGGTGAACAACGGGGGTCTAAAAAACTTCCTTTAAGCCTGCTTTTCACTCATTGTGTTATTCCCCCCCCCTTTAGAAGTCTTTATTACTTACTTATTTGTAAAATTTTATTTTTTATTGAAGTGTAGTTGACTTACAATGTTAGTTTCAGGTGTACAGCAAAGCAATTCAGTTATACCTATGCATGCATACATCTATTTTCAGATTCTTTTCCATTATAGCTTATTATAAGAAACTGGGTATAATTCCCTGTGCTATACAGTAGGTCCTTGTTGTTTATCTACTTTATATGTAGTAGTGTGTATCTGTTAATCCCAAACGCCTGATTTATCCCTCCTTTCGTTGTGTTGTTTTTTTAAACTCTGGTCCCTCCTTTTCAGGAACCACATATTAAAAGATAAGCGTATTTGGTAATAAAATTCCTGGCCTAGAGAGAAGTGACAATGAATGCTGTTTTCAGAAGAGAAACATCGTGCTTTAGAGTTAGCTAGATTCATCCGTCCTGCGTTTTTTTTTTAACAGGTGGAGAAACTGAGTCACAAAACGTTGCAGCATCCTTGGAGTTCTAGAAAGAACTAAAATAGCATATGGCTAATTTAGGACGGAAAGATGGGAACAACTTCTCCTTGATTGGTGCTCTCTTGAAGAGAAATCCTTTTGCTCATCTCGGTGAGTATATTGACCTTCTGATGACATCACTTGTGATTTCTTTAAAAAATGTTAAACTTCTATTGGAAAAAACACGTACGTTGCCTTTAAAAATGGAAGCTTTCGGCAGCATTTAGATCAGTCCATATGTTACGGTTTAGGCCAAATGAACCAGCCAATTTCAGATCTGTTTTTTGGAAAGCTTAGGTATATATTCCCTTGAAATTTCTGTCAAATCACAGCTTGCGGAAGTTTTTTCCAAACGTCCTTTCACTTACTGGTGAATTAAGGATGCTTCTCCGAGAAAGAGGTTGTATGCTCCTGATTTGGGCCCGCCATCCTTCCCTGGTGCTCCCTGTGCTGTGCCTGCCTGTCCCCCGCCTCTAAAGCATCGCGCTCCTCGTGTACTGACTACTTCCGTTCTGGTGCTCCTCTGTCCCCAAGTACCTGGGCTCCCTCCCTAAGGGCATGGGGCCTGGGGGTTCAGGGCCAGGTGGAGAAGCCCTCCCAGGCAGCTCTGTCCCCCCAACCCTGTCCACGACTGGAGAGTTCCAGTGAGCTGGTAACCTGACTGGAAAGCTTCCCTGAGGTTCTGATCTGCAGTCAGGGTAGAGAATTCTTGCTGTAATGACTGAAGGACTCATTTCTTTGGGCAGAAACTCAGAAAGTGACATGGATGATATGAACCTCTACTTGGAATTTGTGTTTGGGGGTCAAAGGACAATATGAGAGGTTTTCTCATAGTCTATCCTGGGTTTGTTGGACAACTGTTTTGTGTGTCAGACTCAAAAATAGTATGACTGCACTTAATTGTTACTGCGATGCCATGAGGAAGAGATTATTGGCCTCATTTTAGATATTAGGCCATAGATACTGAGGAGACATCCAAGTCATTTGCCCCAAATCACAAAATTGGTGACCAATTAAAAGGTATGCATTATCCTCACTTATCTGACTTCACCAAACCATACCAAGAAAAAAAAAACCAAAATGAATGTTTGGTTTGCTATTTACTTCCTTACTTGATACTTCATATCAATACGAATAACAACAAAACAGTGATTTTTTTCAGGGCAGATATTTTTAGCTTGGCAGAATTTTTGTCTAATCATGTGATTGTGTAATTTACGCCCCCAAATGTCTTTGGAGGTCCCGCAGTACTCCAGACTCTGTACTAGGTGTTCTGGATACAGCAGTGAACATATATAAAAATAAGTGTTAATTCTGGCCCCGTCCTGAGATAAAACCAGGAGAGCTCTGTACATATTTCATCCTGTCCTGTCTTCACTCCCAAGGCACAGAAACATAGAGCCCAAGGTTAATGGTCGTCATTTTTCCATTGACTCACAAAATCACTGAACTTGGCCAGTTCCTGAGGGGCTGAGGAAAACGTGAACTAAACCATTCTATTGTTAGTAACTTTCAAGGAGGGAGACCCCACTCAGCCTTGGTGGTCGTTGCTGCTTTTGACGTCTGCAGCCTGTTGTAATGATGATCAGTTACTTCTACACCAGCAGAGTTGGCAGGTATCAATGGAGGTTGAAGCTGAATGCATTAAGAAATTTAAAAAAAAATCTTCAGTTCTATACCTTTTACCAAAATAAGCACCTTTAGAGGTTTTGAAATGATGAGCCAAGAGCCCAGGCAGGTGGGTGGTCAGACACCTGTTTGGTAGTGCTGTGTCCTGAATCTTACCCATTCTGGTAACAATCCCCAGCAGTTACTCCTGCTTTTCTGTCGCAAACTATGTGTGCAGTTTACCCCACTTTGCATTGTGATTTAGAAGCTTCTGGAAACAGTCTCTTTTAGGAGTTATCTCAGTCATCTCGGAGGTGACTTGACTTGGCTTTGTCTTCCAGAAGGCTCTGTGCTTCATATAGAACTGCATACTTACTTTGATCATTATCATTTTGGTTACAAGAGCCTGACCTCCTGATACAATACAATTCTCAGGTTGGGCTACAGACTTGAGTCTGTTCTGTTAAATTGTCTCATGTGGTAACTTACCAGGTGTGGAGCAGAAGTGATGGTCACTTACACCTCAAGTCTCAGATTCTATGATTGTGTTTAATCCTTTGAAAGCACAGGAGACAATCAGAGACATTTGAAATGCTTCCATCATGAGGGTGCTCCCCAAAGAGTGACTTGTCTAACTTTCATAGGAGTTTCCCGTTCAAAGTGTTCCATTGATCAGATTCCGAGCTAAAACTAGGAGCTTTATCCGTGCATATTTCATCATGGTCTTCCTTCACTGTCAAGGTGTTGAAACCTAGAATCCTACATTCATCCGTTCTCTGCTCTGTAGAACTTTGGGTTGACTCGGCAGAGGGCTCCTGCTCTCTGGGGTCTATCAGGCTGGTTGCTGGAGCCTGTTTCAGAGCCTTCGTGGCTGTGGTGCTAACTCACCTGCAGTATCTAGGTCATACTTAGCTTGAATCCCCTTATTCTTTCATCCTGGTCCAAGAAAGGATTCATGGCCAGAATCATCACCTCTTTCAGTGTCCATCATTTTGTCTAGCTCCTAGGACATGGGACCTTCTCCATGTCCCTGTCTACGATTGTGCTTCCGATGTAGGGCAAAAGCACTCACTGGCTTGCAGACTTGAACAACATGAAATTTCACTCCATCACCAAAAGATCACATAGGATAATTCCCCAGTCTTCCAAAGTGAAACTTTTCCATTGGGATCACTATGACTCTGGGGCTGGTGGGTTATATATTTTGGGAAGAAACTTTAAGGCAGTGGATTTCCACTCCTTGCATTGCTCCTTAGTAATTTAATACTCGTTTCCATTTTATTTAATTTTTTAAAAAAATTTTTAGAGGGGTGAGGTCATTAGGTTTATTTATTATTTTTTTATTTTATTGAAGTGTAGTCAGGTACAATGTGTCAATTTCTGGTGTACAGCGTAGTGTTTCAGTCATACGTGTACATACGTCTATTCATCTTCATGTTCTTTTTCATTATAGGTTACTACAAGATACTGAATATAGTTCGTTGTGCTATACAGAATATTTATTTGATTGTTTAATGGAGGTACTGGGGATTGAACCCAGGACCTCATGCATGCTAAGCATGCGTTCTAGCACTGAGCTATACCTTCCCCACCCTTATTTCCTATTTAGTTATCTGTCTGATTGTTTAACGTCCACATTCCCCACTGAAGTTCAAATTCCATGGGCCAGCTGCTTCCTGTAACAAGACCACAGTCTCCTCATCTGCGAAATAAGGGCTGAGACAGGGAGATTCATGAGGTTGCCTTCAGCTTTATGAGTCTCAGTTTGTGTGTCTGACTCAATGGAGGAAGGATTGCAGCCAGTCAGTTGGATGCCACGACCTTGTTTCCAAACCCAGGCTGACTCCATTGAGGTGCCCGGCCTTGAGCTGAGAATGGCTGGCCCATCGCCTTCCCCAGGAGCCCATGCCAGAACCCGAGTCACCTCCTTTGGGACATCTGGGGCCAGTGTTTTCCAAACTTTTTCTGTAGCAGCCTAATTCTCTTCAAAATAAGAAAAGAATTCAAGAGACTATTCGTAATGTGTGGACAGAAGCCATGACAGCTCTTAACCGGGGTCTGGGTGTCTGCTGCGTGGAAGATGGAGGAATCTCAGAAGGTGGTTCAAAGGGCAGTTGCTCTGGTGGAAGAGGAGGGTAGAGACACCGTGGCCTTCCCCTGGCCAGCTTTACACTTAAAATTGACCTCACTCCCCACTCTCACCTCCCACCCCTGCCTCACCTCCAGCCCCACAGTTCCCAGCTAACTCAGAACATTTCAAATCCTCTGCCCTGGCCAGCTAATAGGGATTCCGATGACTGTAGGAACTACAGTGGAGTGTGACAGGCCAATCTCAGGAGCTAGGAGCCTGAAATTTACCCTCCCCTGATCCCCCGGTAACCTCCCCCTACCATGATCTGATTACTGCCAAGAGGAGTGGAAAGCTTTCAGTGCCAATCTGGAAAATCCTGGATCGAGTTGTCTCTTCCCTCATCCAAGGGGAATCAAACTTGAGAATTCAACAAGAACTTGAATACTAATTCCTGCAAAAACTGCAACCTACCAAAACCCGTCTTGAGATGAAATCAACAACCCGGGTAGTTCTATAATCATTACTAAAACTGGATTCATAGTTTAAAAAACCTTTTGAAAAAGAGATCTCCAGACCCAGGTGGTTTTGCTGGGAAATTCTAACAAACATTTGAGGAAGGAGCAACGCTAATTTTAGACAGTCTCTTTCAGGAGAGGGGAAACTTCCCAACTTAAGCTAGGATGCCAGCATCACTCTGATACCAAAGATGGTTAAAAACAAAATAACAAAGGCAAAACCCCAGACCAATATACCTTATGAATACCGATGTTAAAAATCATCAAAAACACTAGCAGTATTAGTTATCAAATTTATGTATGTATGTAGAGTTGTTCGTAATATTCCCTTATAATTTTAATGTCAGTGCGATCTGTAAGTGATACCACCCCTTTCATTCCTGATACTAGAAAGTTGTGTTTTCTCTCCTTCTCTCCTTTGCTTTGCCAGTCTTGCTAGAGGCTTAACAATTTTATTGATATTTTCAAATAACTGGTATTTTTCTCATTGATTTTCTTTCCTTTTCTTTGCTCTCTCTTCATTTTCTTGTTTCTGCAAGTGGAACTTTAGGTGATTGATTAGAGATCTTTCTTTTTTTCTAATAGAAATATTGATCATAAATTTCCCTGTAAGCGCCATTTCAGCTGCATCACAGACATCTTGATATGTTGTATTTTCATTTTGTTCATTTCAAAAAAGATTTTTTTTTTACTTGAGACTTTTCCTTTGGACCCATACATTATTTAGAAGTATGTTGTATGATTTCCAAGTATTCGGGAAGTTTCATTTTCCCAATGTTATTGGTTTGTTACTGGTTTCTAGTTTAATTGCATTATGATCAGAAAAAATATTTTGCATTATCTGAATTCTTTTAAATTTGCTAAAGTGTACTTCGGGGTATAGTCTATCTTGGCGAATGTTTTATATGTCCTTTAAAAGA